CCAGTGACACATGAACTATAAGCATCATGGATTGGGGATGTAACCTGAGGGTCAGTAGAAAGTGACAGTAAGAAGACATACAAGATAGTTTAGTTGTATCATATAAGGGTCTGTTACCAGTTAGGTCCAGGTCCATTCAGTTCACCTGCAGTAACTCAATAACTGTGACATGGGTTTTGCAGAAGGGAAAATATTTGCAAGAGCACCAAGGGAAGAGGTGAAAGATCAGCTCTCAAATCTATCTCCCTGAAGATTAGACTTAGAGATATTTATGGCTTGGATAACTGGGATGGTCTAAAGCACAAGAAAAGGGAATAGGCAGTGGTCCAAAATGAAGTAACTGGTTCATACTGCGCATAGTTGGGGTTCATGGCGTTTTACAGGACATATGTATGCAAAATGGCATTGCTACCATTACCTGAATGGGGGTTTTTGGCCCTCTGACATCAAAAAACCATCTCTCAGGTGTTTTGCAGAGGCCCAGTTGAACGGTGGTGGTCTGAATAGGATGCGAGCTGGCTCAAGTTCTTCAAAGACAACAGAAGCACCATTACCATGGTGACTGATAAATGTTACCTATACAGTAGCCAGTGAAGCTTAAGTTTCAGGGTTTAGTTGTGAACCTTCAACTACCATGGTCTTCAGCTTTTTGGGGAAAAAAAGCAAGCAAACTAAAACACTCAGGTGTGTGCAGTCATGACCATGGTTTTAGGTCAAAGGATGAGAGTTAAATAATGGCAAAAAGCATGCATGAAAAGCAAAATTAATAGGAAAAAAATCTCACTTTCACCTAAATAACCTGGGAAGAATTTGGGAGAACTTCCTTTCCTCAAGAGATGTGAATATTAAAAGAAGTATAATATCCTAATACAATGACTAGCATATAAGAAAAAGTGTGTGTTGGCCGGGCGCGGTGGCTCAAGCCTGTAATCCCAGCACTTTGGGAGGCCGAGGCGAGTGGATCACGAGGTCAAGAGATCGAGACCATCCTGGTCAACATGGTGAAACCCCGTCTCTACTAAAAAAATACAAAAAATTAGCTGGGCATGGTGGCACGTGCCTGTAATCCCAGCTACTCAGGAGGCTGAGGCAGGAGAATTGCCTGAACCCAGGAGGCGGAGGTTGTGGTGAGCCGAGATCGCGCCATTGCACTCCAGCCTGGGTAACAAAAGCGAAACTCTGTCTCAAAAAAAAAAAAAAAAAAAAAAAAAAAGAGAAAAAGTGTGTGATAGGTATCATTATTGTTGTTTTCTAGTCATCACAATATCATTAAGAGGCACATACTACAGATAGTCCTATTTAAGAGATGGCAAACTTGAGACTAAAATATTATAGTGGTCTGGGATAAAAACTAAAAGCAACTGACTCCAGACAGGAAACATTTAACCACTCACAATGCTGCCTGCAATTTTCAGTTCAGTGTTCATGACAGATCAGCAAAGGGACACACACGAAGAAAGTACAAATGAAATCCTGAGGCTCTACTTATAAACTTGAATTATATTTTTATATTTGACAGGAATCACTGGGGATTGGAAAAATCACTTCACAGTGGCTCAGAGTGAAATATTTAATAATATCTATCAAGAGAAGATGGCTGGACTTCCTGAACAGCTTTTCCCATGGGAATAGTGGCCTCGAAATCTTAAAATATGACACAAATGCTGATTCTCCCATTGTTCTTGCATAAAAGCATGCTCACATGAAGCATACTTTAATCTTACCATTCAGTTACACACTTAATGCTTGAATATAGTTTCTCATGAACCAAGTTTCTCATGAACCTTACACCATAGCAGCTTCAAAGAGATATTGAATATTTCACAGATACAAAACAGTAAATAAAACAATACTTTTTGTCCAACTGAAACTTTGTACTGTTTGATCAACTTTGTGATCTATTGTGCACAATGTTGACTATAATGAATAAAAATGCATTACATACTTCAAAATTGTGAAAAAAAAACTAGATTTTAAGTGTTTTATGCCCAAAAAAATGATCCGTATGTGAGGCAATGGATTTTTTAATTAGCCTAATTTAGTCATTTCACATTGTAAATATTTATCAAACATGACATTCTACTGCTTAAATGTATGTAATTATTACTTGTCAATTAAAAATAAAATTATAAACAAGAAAACAGTATTTTAACATTTATATTGGCTGGGTATGGTGGCTCACACTTGTAATCCCAGCAGTATGGGAGGCCAGGGCAGAGTGATCGCTTGAACACAGTAGTTCAAGACAAGTCTGGGAAACACAGAAAGATGTCATCTTTAGTAAACAAAACAAAACTCATGTGAATTTTAACCAGGTATAAAATAAAAACACTCTGCCATATTTGTGACTTATATATTTATGTATGAGCGGAAACATTACATACACATATATCACTGTCTCTGAAACATCTCCAATCACATTTCTGTGTTTTTAGCATCCCATAATTAATACCTATTCAAAAGTCAGTGTGTATATTTCTATAGCGGATGCTCTTGATTTCTTGTCAAGACCACCACACATGTGCACCTATGTTCCAATGACTGTGAGTGAGGCTGCTAATTGCTCAGGTGTTTCCTCTTGTCTACAAAATTGCTGTGAACCAATCAGGACACATCCTTCCTGGAAGACTATGTCTACCTCAAGACATCCCAGCAGCCAATGAATGACTTTATAAAAGTACTAAAGATTAACACTTCAATCCATGAACGGGGCAGATTTGTGGTGTCATTTATTTTCCAAACCCTCACTGAGATCAAGATGAAACTGTCTTCAGCCCAAGTCATATCCATATGTAATTTCTTTCACTCTGCCCTATCTTGCTGTCCTTACTTCCTTCCTCCAAAACACACTCATTCTCTAAGTCACTTATACAAAAATACCCATTTCAAATTTTTTCTAAGAAACCCAACTCAAGATAATGGATGGCAGAAGCCATCCTAGGAATTAATCAAACTCTAAGGATAGGATTCTGGAATGGGGCCACTTTCCAGCCAGATAGCAATGAGGACGCCAATGCTGTTGGAGTACAGACAGCCCCTGGCAAGCTCTCAAATAAACAGAGAGACCAAGAAGTTGAGCTCCAGACCTCAACTTGAGCCCTTGGTTATTGGTGCTCACATGGGGGTGACTTTGCTAGACAGGGGACAATCAAGTGTCTGGAGACATGTATGGTTGTCACAACTGGAGGAGTACTATCGGTATCTAGTGGAATAAGGTCACTAATGCCACTCAACATCCTACACTGCCCAGGACAGCTCACCATGACAAAAATTAATCCAGGTCAAAATGTCAGGAGTCCGAGGCTGAGACTCCTGTGCAACTTAGGGGATTGTGCTGCTTGCTGGGATGAGGAGAAATGGCTGGAATATGAGTCAAAGTCTAGAACCATAGGATGTTACAACAACAGGGAAGAAATAGAGAGGGAGGGGAGGGAAGAAGGGAGAAAGGAATTGGGAAAAATGAAGAGAAGGGATTCACTTGCCTCACCTCTACTGTTTCTTTCTTAGTTCAAGGGTTCATGTTTTCATTAAGCTCCAAAGCAATTATACCACATCTGTAACCCAGAAGTGGGTATCAGGTATACTTCAGCAGGGAAAAGAGGTTTGGTAGACTTCTGTGGTGACGCACAGGATGTTTATATCAATTACTTGGTGTTTGAAGTAAAAAATCAGGTGAGTTTAGAAGCTGCAATCACAGAACTGCAGAATTACATGAAAAGTCCCCAGTTCCTCACCTTTAATTGCAAGCCACTGTCTGATGTGGCCATAGGTACACACTGCACATGATGGAGACATGCAGAGAAGAAGGAAATTATTTACGAATTTGCTCAACAGATTTTATTTTGGGTTTTTAGAAACTGTGGCAAAATACACACAAACTAAAATTTACCACTAGTGACATTCACCGTACTTACCATGCAATTGGAACCATCATGAGGAGAAAGAAATAGATGATTGCACATGATACTTAGAGATACAGAGAAAAACACAGGATGTTCTGAGAAACAAAACTGAAAAATTCTACTCTGGATTCTTGGGCAATGAAAAAAGACTTTTTGGGAAACTGACATTAAATCAAAGTCCTGTAGAATGAGAGGTAGTCAGCCAGACAGAAAACAAATGAAGAGACTCCAGGTCAAAGAACTAGTTTGTACAAAGGCCTTGTGGTGGATGGAAGTCTAGACATGCTTGCAGTCAGAAAGAAGGATGGAGGCTGGTGAAGAGGGAGGGAGTGGGAGAGCACTGTGGGAGGAGTGTGACTGCATGCACAAGCAGACCCGCCCTAACCTGGAAAACCACAGAGGGCATTTTAGATCCCAACCTAAGAGCCACGGGAAGTCACAGAAAGGCTGTCAGTAGAAGAGGGACATGTCCCAGTGATCTAGACTAAAGTGCAGAGGCCAATTAAGAAGCTACTCAGTTTCCATGAGGTGACTGTAGCCTGGACAAGGCTATGGTCTGGGAGATGAAGAGGAAGTACTAAAGACAGATGTGAGATTTCTCTTCCCTTAATGGCTACAAAGAGCCTTCTCTGTAGCCTCTCATAGGATTCCTGCCTTCCACCCTATTCCCAACAACTCCAGTACTCTTCGTAAAAAATGCACAGTCATGTGCCCCATGCCCTACTCTAGCTTAAAACCCAGCAGTGAAACCTCAATAACTATTACAGTGGTTTTCAAACTTTAAAAGAAAATAAAACCACAACAGTTATCATGAAATTTTACATGGAATCTTGTCTTACATTGGCTTTTTTTACCCCATTTCTTTCCATAGTTCCTTTTGATTATGTAATATGCTAAAAAATTTTAACCCACAGAGATTCATCATAATTATAACAGTTATCTAACAGCTTGCCTGTGATCTCCACCAATTGTAGAGTTAGTAGAGATTCTTCCAAGTTCAGCATGAGAACCAAGCAAAAGGATGGTACGTGCACTCAACGAATACAAAAATTGTAGTGTATACACTCTATTTAATCACAGCTTTTAAAAATAGGTTCCTTTTTGAAATGAACATCAAAGCCAACTGTTGTTGAATCCCTAAAAGATCCCAGGGTTTCAGAAAACATGGTATGAATTATTTGCACCATGTGATCGAGTTGAGCTCCTTGGCATGGAACCTGAGGGTTCTCAAGCTCCATTATTTTCCTGCTTTCCTATCCTTTTCATCACATCTCCTTACCCATACACCTTCACTCTCGTCTCATTTCCTGTCCATACTAAAGCATTTATGATTCCCCTAAGAACTCCACATTTTTCCACTCCATTAGGCTATTCCATATATTCGTTCTTCTGAAAAGAACAGGCTTCATCATCCTCTGCCTAGAAAACTCCTCCATGATCAAAATGTTTCAACAGAGCATAGTTTTGGCTTGGAATCCAGTAACAGTTTTTTAGATTCCACTGGGGAGGACTACTGGATGAAATAAATATTTTTTAATGGTTTTTCAGGCTCTTCCCAACAATACTTCAAAGCACATTTATACCCTATTTTTATTTTGGGGATATGATGTCTGTCTGACCCTTTAGGCAAGTAGTGAAAACTTTCTGTATGAAAGATTAAAAAATGAATTTCACATGGATACAAAAGTGAACATACTACTGAGATTTCCAGTTTCTGATCCAGCAAGGAGCTAGAAGTCCTCACTCCATCTTAACAGCAAATAAAATGCTGAACAAACTGAAAAATCGGCAATTCTTCTTAGATCTGTCAAATAGGTGAGGTCAAAAGACAAGCTACTGCCTCCAAAGTTGGAGACAGTCAGGCAGACACAGAGAATCACAACTTACCAGAGCAGAAACTCAAAAGCAGAAATCTTTGTGCCTCTCAGGAACCAGAACAAGGTTAGGAAAACCTGAACTATAATTGATGAATTGGGAGGCTGAATGTGGTTAAGCCTGAGAGTTAAAAACCAAAAACAAAAACAGAAAAAACTCCAAGGAGACCCTGCCATAGAGGTTTCTTTATATTTTCATGAGTTTCATCTCCAAGGACTCTAGCAGGTTCCCACAGTAAAGATCTGAGAAAAGTCACCAGCTGGTTCTGGCAGAGGAAGAGGAAGAGTAGCCATTGTGAAATATACAGAGCATTCTGTTCAATGCTCTGGAGAGAAACCGTTTTACCAGAGCCTAACCTCTTGGGATTTTATCAGAGTCCAAATGACCTGGACAAAAGAAAATAAACAAGTCTGGTCCCATCTTGCCCTCCTATCCTACTTAAGAGGAGGGAGGGGTTTACTGAGAAGCACTTGTGAAATTCATAGTCCCTGGGCACAGGCTAAGAGACTGAAACCTTACCATAAGACTTGTTGAAACAATTGATTGGGAAGCCATTAGGCTGAGGTGGCTCCAGTACCCTGGATTCTCAACCTAAGCAAACCCAAGCCCAACTCAGTGTGACTGGTCTTTACCAATCAACCTCTAACTATTGACTTTCCACTGGAATGATCCAAATAAGGCTCTACTCTAACAAATCAAGTATTTTATTTGCCTTGTTTCTGAGTTCAACTCGTAAAAGCCTTTCCCTCATGCCTCTTCAGAGAGGGCCTAAGCTGCATGTGGTCTGGCAATGCCCTTTTCATGAACTGCTGTCTGCTTAAACTCTAAAATTTTAATGTGCCTAAGTTTATACATTATTTTGCAGACTATAGAACACTTCCCCTCTCGCAACCATATCTTACACCATGTTACTAAAGACTTGTCATGCAGCTCATTTTAGTAAGTACAACACATTCAGCTATCAGAAAAAATTGCAAGGCACTCTAATGGGCAAAAAACACAGCTTGAAGGGTTTACTTAACTCATTAATGTGAAAAAGTGGTGACGTGTTAAAACTAGCTCATAAAAGAACCCTCCCCAACCCTAAAAAAGTCACATTTATAGATCAAGAATATTAAAGTGGCTGGCTACAGTGGCTCATGCCTGTAATCCCAGCACTCTGGGAAGTTAATGTGGATCACTTGAGGCCAGGAGTTTGAAACCAGCATGGGCAACATACTGAGATCTCATCTATACTTTAAAAGTCGGCCAGACATGGTGGTAGTTACCTGTAGGCCCAGCTACTCAGGAGGCTGAAGCAGGAAGACAGCTTCAACCCAGGATGTCAAGAGGTAGAAGCTGCAGTGAGCTCTGATGGTGCCACTGCACTGCAGTGTCAGCAATAGAGTGAGATCCTGTTTCTTTTCCTTTTTTTTTGAGATGAAGTCTGGCTCTGTTCCCTGGAGTGTAATGGCACCATCTTGGGTCACTGCAATCTCTGCCTCCCAGGTTCAATCAATTCTCCTGCCTCAGCCTCCTGAGTAGCTGGGACTACAGGTGCATACCACCACACCCAGCTCATTTTTATATTTTTAGTAGAGACAGGGTTTTACCATGTTGGCCAGGATGGTCTCGATCTCTTGACCTTGTGATCTGCCCATCTCGGCCTCCCAAAGTGCTGGGATTACAGACGTGAGCCACCATGCCTGGATGCCCTGTTTCTTAAAGAAAAAAAAAATTAAAATTAAAATAATGTGCAGCAGCAAATAGAGGCAAAAACTGGCCTACTCCAAAATGGAGCTGGAGGAGGGAAGTAAACCGAGCCTCCTCCCAACAATTTACTTTTGTGTAGACAAGAACTAATTTACACTTCCATCAGAGATCCACAATGTGAGTTGGTAAATAACTCAAAACAATGACTAAGTAGAATCAAATAACCTGTACGCCATTATCTGTGCCAGGCACAATTATGACCACTTCATCTTCGCAACACTATTAGCTAAGAAACATTGTTCCATTGCACACATGAGCAAACTGAAGCTCAACAAGATTAAACAATTAATAAAAAACCACACAGCAGGCCAGGGGCGGAGGCTCACGCCTGCAATCCCAGCACTTTGGGAGGCCGAGGCAGACGGGCGGATCACCTGAGGTCGGGAGTTCGAGACCAGCCAGCCAACCAACATGGAGAAAACTTGTCTCTACTAAAAATAAAACATTAGCCGGGCGTGGTGGCGGGCACCTGTAATCCTAGCTACTCAGGAGGCTGAGGCAGGAGAATCGCCTGAACCTGGGAGGCGGAGGTTGTGGTGAGGCGAGATCGCCCCATTGCATTTCGGCCTAGGCAACAAGAGCGAAACTCCGTCTCAAAAAAAGAAAAATAAAAAGTCACACAGCAGACACACTCTACAGCTTAGGAGTCAACAAAACACCCACAGAAATGCATACAGGGTCGCACATCAAATCACACAACCTCACGGAGAATGGGCCTAACCTCACAGAGAATGAGCCATCAGATACGCCAAAGCAGACGCCGGGTGGTCCCACCCACCTCATAGCAAACACTTTCCCAAACTTAAGAACGTTTCCACGCCAATGTATTACCATTAGGCCCTTTCCCCACCTCCTCTTACAGCCTCCAACTAAGTCTGATCCTCGTACTGAAAAACACGGAACCCCTCAGAGGGCAACCGCTTGGTTCTCTGTGCGCAGGCGCAGCATTCGCCCAACACCTCCTAAGGGCACAAAGTCACGCCCCCAAGGCCGAGCTCACGCATGCGTACTCGATCATCAGCGGAACCGCCTCCACCCCGCTCTTCTTGTACTTTATGCCCCAGGTACCTTGTTTCTTAGCGGAGGTCGCCTCTGGATTCCGGTCTCTGGGAGCGGGGGCGTGGGGCTGCACATGCGCACTACGAGTCCTCGCCTACTCCCAGAAACCACCGGGGCCCCCAGGCGTTGCGGCCAGGGCTTCAGGTCGGTGCGCTCCAGAGAGACCTGAGTGGGCAGCGTCGCCGTTTCTCCTTTCTTGGACAGTATTTTCCCAGCGCCACGTCATAATGGGACATTATGAGGCTTGTGTTGCTTGGGGCCGCGCGGCCCGTCTCAGAGGCGCTCCGGGCAGGAGTGGCCAGCTGGATGGCTGGAGGCCCAGGGATCAGTGCAGGTCAGATCCGGCGTCCGGGCCTGAGTTTGGAGGTGGCGGGTGCGGCTAAGCCTGACAACAGTGCGCGCGTAATCAGTGTGGTGGCGTCTGTGCACACAGAAGACATAATTAAAATTGCTATTTGTGTGCATGGTTCTATCCCAGAATAGGCAACTGAGGCATTGGGAAAGGCCGTTACAGTTTTAGGAACCAGAGCTGCACGCTAAACAGTGTTTTCTTTGGACAGTGAAATCTGTCGTTCTTGGAGTTTGTTCAGGAACATGGTTGAAAATGGGTGGCAGTGGGTTCGAGAATCTGGTCTCTGAAGTTTCCCTCCTTCTCCTTAGCTCTGCATTTCCAGGACCCTGTCGCTGATCAGAACGCTGTTCCAGCACAGTGCGCATTAGCTATGTCTCAGGTAAGTTTTTGTTTTATCTTTGTTTCCTGCAACATCATAGGTTTTAAGTCCTGGGCATATCTAGTTTTGCTTACTTGGGTGGTAAAGACTGACACAGGGACAAGGCCCAGGTCTTTTCATTCAGCAACACATGGGACTGTAGGGACCTCTCTTCTCAGAGTCCATGTCCTGTACTTTCGTGTTCATTTATTCACCGAATGAATTATTCTGAATCTCCACTGTCACCAGTCGTCTTTTAAGCACTATTTGGGGGGTCAAAGATACATTCCCTAGAGAAGACGAGAGCCGTTATCTGGAGACTGTCATCTTCTTGAGTAAACGTGAATACTCAGTCATCTTTGACATTCTGTACAGCCCCAGACTGAGAGGACACAGCATAGAAAATGCTAATGAGTGGTTCAGACTCAGTAATGGTAATCTGCCTTTGGAAATTTGGGGGAATGGGAATGTGATTGACGTCTTGAGCATGAAAGTCCAGGTTAACGAGGTCAGGCCATTTACTAGGAACATTAGTGAAAGATAATGTTTGGGATCACAGGTTCCAGTTTGAAGTTGGGCAGTTAAAGGTATTTCCAAGAATTTCACAGATGAAGTCACAGGTTCTGTTCAGGGTATTTGCATGGTCTCTGAAATTTTGTGCAAAAACGACCAGATTTGATTCTTAGCCTGGTAAGTGTAGTCACCAAGACATTTTGTTTGAAAAATAGATTTTCTTTTCGAGGGGACACTTTTATTTTCTTTCTTTTAGGAAAAGAGGCAATATTTTCCCTATACATTCTATTTGTTATGACTGAAGCTACTCGTGAAATTGTTAAATTATGTTTATGTATTTTAAAAGAAAAATAAAAACTTTATTTAAAAAATTTTTTTAACTAATTTTAATTTTTAACATTTTTTTTCTTTTAAAATACATAAATATAATTTATGTATAACCATCATATAACAACTATGCAGAAAAAAACATTTTTATCACTTTAGTTTCTGTATTTTGATGTGAAGTATTTGAGCTTACAGCTTTTTTTAACCACCAGTTTTTATCCCGTTTTCTCCATGTTTCCAGTGCATTCTTAACTCCGTTGATAATTTCACCATCAAGATAGATTTCCATCACTCTTGCAAGTATTTTTTCATCTATTTTTCCCTTTCCTGACCCTCAAAGTAAAAGGATTTCTTGTTTTGATGAAGGATTTCTTGTTTCTTGGAAAAGGAAAACGATTTCTTGTTTTGATGACAGTGGATTTGTTTTGCTTGGCTTCACATAAATGGAGTCAAGTAGTTTGCATGTGTGTGTCTGGCTTCATTAGCTCAACATAATGTTTCTTGATATTCATTGATGTCCATTATTTGTTGTTGTTCTGCTGAGTATTCCATTGTGTTAATATATTAGTCTACTTACTCATTTTCCTGTTGATAGACATTTGGGGTGTTTCTAGGTTTTTGGCTGTTAATAAAACTGCTATGAATATTATTGTATAGGCTGAGTATCCTTTATCCAAAATGCCTGGGACCAGAAGTATTTCAGATTTTGGTTTTGTTTGTTTGTTTTTTAACATTTGCATTATACCTACTGGTTGAGCATCCTAAATCTAAAATTCAAAGTGTTCCAATGAGCATTTTTTTTAAATATTATGTCAACACTCAAAAAGTTTCAGATTTTGAAGCATTTTAGATTAGGGATATTCAACCTGTATATGTCTTTTTCTGATCTTTTAGAAGATGTAGTCATAGAAAAAATACTGGCATCTGGACACAGTGGCACACACCTGTTGTCCCAGCAACCTGGGAAGCTGAGGATCACTTCAGCCCAGCATTTCATCGCAATAGTGCTTCATGATCACACATGTGAATAGCCACTGCATTCCAGCCTGGACAACATAGAAAGACCCCTGTCTCTTAAAAGAGAAAGAAAATACTGGCATCTGAAGAATATCAAGAAAAAATTAAAAATTATTCATTAAATATATTGTAGTCTGTCTCATTTATGGTGACAGAATTCAGGAAAGCAAGAGGTGTGTCTTGAAGCAATCTTGGGAAATCTTGGAGCTGCTGGTAAATATTCAGTTTCTTGATCAGGGATCTGCTGATGAGTGGATTGCTTTGTGAAAATTTGACATATTATACACGAGTTCATCATACTGATCATGGCTCACTGCAGCCTTGACCTCCTAGGCTCAAGCAATTCTCCAGCCTCAGCCTCCTGAGTAGCTGGGACTACAGGCGTGTGCCACCATGCCTGGCTAATTTTTTTATTTTTTGTAGATGAAGTATTGCTGTGTTACCTAGGCTTGTCTTGAACTCCTGGGCTCAAGTAGTCCTCCTCTCTCGGCCTCCCAAAGTGCTGGTGTGGCAGGCCAGATCTCACCAAACTCAGGCCTCCATAAAAACTTTCAGTACTGACTGAGTGGTTAAGTTAAATGTTAAAAGCCAGTGCCCTTATACAAAGGCTGAAATGTAACAAAAGCCCACCAAGAGTTTTGCCTAGGCCTTTCCTGGGCCTGAAAACATGATAAAATAATGAAGGAATTCTTAATTGGACCCATTTAGGATGAAACAGGTTTTACTGGGGGTCTGAAGAAACTCCCTATGCCTCCACAAACAAGTTTATTGGAGGTCTGAAGGAACTCCCCAAACCCCTGTGGTTTAGCAGGAGACAAGATAAGGGTAATCACCCCAGAACCTGAACCCATTTAGATCAAGTTAATTTACTGAGGGTCCAGAGAAAGGTCTTCAAGACTGAGACCTTAGTCATAGATTAAAAGAAGTTAATCACTTAATGTCTTTAGATGAATGCACACTTACACATAGACATATAGCTTAGAAGGTATATAAGCTCTGGAAAACTTTGTAATTTAGAGTTGGTCTGGTGATAATTTCCAGGCCTCTCCTTGTAACTGGCTACAGAAATAGAAACTCTCTTCCTCCCCAATTTGTCTGCATCTTGTTATTTGGCCTCAATAAACAGCAGCCCGACCCTCAGCTTGATCCAGGAACATAAAGGTTGAAGTATATTTCCCCCCATATTATTGACTCATAGTAACACCAGTTTTGGGAGATGGCTTTCATTTTCTCCCTTACATTGTTATTGGCACCTTTTGCAAAATTCAGTTAACTATCATGGGTACACTTCTGAAATAATCTGTTTCATATAGCTTTAGAGGAAGTCCTGAAATTTGGTCATGTAAGTCTTCTAGTTTTATTGTATTTTAACAAATTTCTCTAGGCTGGGTATGGTGGCTCATGCCTATAATCCCAGCACTTTGGGAGGCCCAGGTGGGAGGAGCACTTAAGCCCAGAAGATCAAGACCAGCCTGGGCAACATAGCAAGACCTTGTCTCTACAAAAAATTTTAGAAATTAGCAGCACATGACTTGTAGGAAAACAGCCTTTTGCATAGCAAGAGTAACACGAAGTGAAACTGCGATAATGATCATTTGACTCCTGCACAAGACAGTCCTTCAGCAAGATCAAGAAACAATGACTTTAGCATAGATAATGCCTCATAAAGATATTTATCTAACTTTCCCACTGGGTCATGAGTTTCAAAAGGGGTCTGAAAAGCAATGAGGTGCCATGCATATGTTCTACCAAAAAAGCCTGTGATATCGTGGGTACAGGAATCCACCATATCACAGCTACTGGAGAAACTACTTCTGTTCTGACATCCCTATTAAATGTTTCTTTCTGAGAATTTGGATTTGCCAGCCTTTCTCAGCTTTTCCGTTCCCTGAACCTTTGCAGGTAGGTTTGCATATACTACTTACTGTGGAACATGAATATGTATTTTTATATAAGGTGACAGATGTTGAAAACCAACAGGCAAAAACATACCAGATAAAGAGAAGTCATTATTATTCATTGCCAGTACACAGTGTGGGAATAAAATACCAAAACAATTACTCTGGGTCAGGGGTTAGCAAACTTCTTTTTCTGAGACAAGGTCTTGTTCTGTTGCCCAGGCTGGAGTGCATAGTGTGATCACAGCTCACTGCAACCTTGAACTCCTGGGCTCAAATGATCCTCTCACCTCAGCCTCGCAAGTAGTTGGACTATTGGCGCATACCACCATAGCTGGCCAATTTTGCTGTTTCTTTGTAGAGATGGGGATCTCCCTTTGTTGCCTAGGCTGGTCTAGA